GGGAATCACCTATGACAATTACCCTCCTTTTGCTTTTAACAGGGGCAGGCAGAAATCGTGGGGCAGACTGACTCCCCTTAGGCAACCCTCTGCGTGAGCCCTCGTCTATATTTTCGTCTTTTGATGAAATGCTTTACTGAAGTCAAGACAGACCACATCCACTGCTCTACCATCATCCACCCACTGGGTGATCTCCTCATAAAAGACTATCAGGTTTGTCAAGCACGACTTCCCCTTAGTGAAGCCATGTTGACTGCCCCTAATGACCCTCTTATCCTTGATAGGCCTAGAGACAGCACCAAGGATAAGTTGTTCCATTATCTTTCCAGGGATGGAGGTGAAGCTCACCGGTCTATAGTTAACTGGGTCTTCCTTCTTGCCCTTTTTGAAGACTGGAGTGACATTTGCTTTCCTCCAGTCCTCAGACACCTCTCCCCTTCCCCACGATTTAGCAAAGATGATGGTGAGTGGCCTGGCAATGACATCTGCCAGCTCCCTCAGCACCTGCAGGTGCATCCCATCAGGACCCATGGACTTATGGATGGCCAGGTTGCTTAACTGGTCTCTAACCAAGTCCTCATCAACCAGGGCAGACTCCTCCTCTATCCTGACTTGCATCCCTTCGAGTGGGTGCTGAAATTACTTCTAAACAATTATGTTGTAATTCTTCTGATGGTTCTCCAAACAAAAATTGTGCTGGACTTTGAGCAGAGGTCACCCTCAGCTCTGAGTCAGGGGAGTCAATTAATATTGCTTCATATTTTAGGATCTGGCTATCCATTAACCATTTTTCTGCTTTTGTTGTAAAACACTCCTAACATTATGCGGGGTGTATACCTGTAAAGGAGCACTAAAAGTAATCTTTCTGGCTTCTTCTATTAATAGTGCTGTAGCAACCAAAGCTTGGAGGCAAGAGGCCATCCTCTACTTACTGGATTGAGTAACTTAGAACAATACCCCACGGGTTTTCTAATTCCTGCCCAGTCCTGAGTAAGAACTCCATATGCTGTCTGGTTTGACGTATTCACAAAAAGATAGAAAGGTTTTTCTAGATCTGGGAGGCTCAATACAGGCGCTTGTATTAATGTCTTTTTTATTTCCTCAAATTTTTTGTCATCTTCTGTAGACCACTTAAGTTGGTTATTAGTCAATTTTTCATAGAAAAATTTTACCTTTTCGCTGTAGCTTTCAAACCATGGTCTACAATATCCTAGTAATCCTAATATTCGCCGGATTTCCTTTTTAGTTTGTGGGGGTCTTAAGGATAAAATCCCAGATACTGTGTCAGGATCTAACTTCTTCTTTCCCTTACTTATCCAGTGTCCTAAGTACTTCACTTCCTGTTCTACAAACTGTAACTTCAATCGGGACACGTTTAGTCCCTTTTCTCCTAAAAAGTTTAACAATTTAATAGTGGCTTCTCGGGTTTCCTCTTCAGTTTCTCCTGCTATTAATAAATAATTTACATATTGTATTAATTTTACCCCTTTTGGTAATGTGAAATTTTGTAATATTTTTTTCTAAAATTTGTCCAAATAGATTTGGTGATTCTGTAAACCCCTGTGGTAGCACAGTCCATCTTAATTGTTGTTTTCGTCCCGTTTTGGGATCCTCCCACTAAAAGGCAAAATAATCTCTGGATCCCTCGTCCAGAGGACAGGCCCAAAAGGCATCTTTTAAATCTATAACACTATACCAAGTATGTTTGGGGGATATATGACTCAGTAAAGTATAAGGATTTGCTACCACAGGAAATTTAGTGATGGTTCGCTGATTTACGGCTCTCAGATCTTGTACCATTCTATATGACCCATCCGGTCTCTTTACGGGAAGGATGAGTGTATTATGAGGTGACATGCATGGTTCTAAAGTTCCTTTTTCCAAAAGTCTTTCGACCACAGGTTTTAATCCTTTTCGACCCTCCATGGGTATAGGGTATTGTTTGATTCTAATTGGGCGATGTGGATCTATTATTTTAACACTTACAGGATCCATTTCTACCTTTCCAATTTCTCCTTCTTTATACCATACCGAGGAATTTATGGCTTTTTCATCCTCCTGTGTTAAAGAATATAATTTAATCTGCAATTTATCCCCTTGACTCTGAATGCTCAATTTTAATTTCAAAATTAAGTTTTGAAATTAAAATTTCTGCTTCAGGGAGCAAAAGTAAATCATTAAGGCAAATTTTCTTTTCTGTTTCCACTTCTACATTTTTCAAAATAAGTACTTTAAAAGGCTCTCCTTTTGCTCCTATTACTGACATATAACTCTTCCCTTTTTCTACTCCTTTTGGAAGTTTTTGAATGGTTGATTTTTCAGCTCCTGTATCCACTAAAAATAAAACTTCCTCTTTATGGAGACCTATTAATAATTTTATCAAGGGCTCTGTTGATGTTGAAGTCCCCAGAAGATACAGCCCCTGACACCCCTATTCCTCTTTAAAAATTTTCTCATCTCGTTCCCGCTCACAGCAGTTCTTTTGAACATGTCCCTTCTTGTTTCAGTAATAACAGATGGGAACTGTGAACCTTTTCTTAGAGGACTGCTCCCGGGGTATATGTTCTATTTTTTTTTCCCTTTTTCTCCCTAGACGGAGTCTGGTTTTTCTGACTCTCTCTTACCTCTGCTACAACGATTTTTGCTTTCGCTTTCTGTTTTTCTTCATCTCTCCTAACATAGACTTGGGCTTCTGTAAGCAATTCTTCTAATCCTCTTTCCTGCTAGTCTTCTAGTTTTTCTAATTTTCTTCTTATATCCCCCCAGGATTTTGCTACAAGTTGTTGTTATAAGTAGTGCCATCCCAGCCACTGTATTCGGATCAACTCCAGAATACATTTGTAGGCTTTTTCTTAACCTCTCCAACCATTCTGTTGGAGATTCATCTTTCCCTTGTTGTTCATTAAATGCTTTATTAATATTTTGCCCTCAGGGAACCGCTTCCCTTATTCCGTGTATGATTAGTGTTCTCAGATCTCTCATATTCTGTCTCCCTTGGGGTTGTTGATGATCCCAGTGGGGATCCACATTTGGCCATTTTTGATCTCCCCGGGGTCCTGCCTGATTCTGTCTTTCCCAAATTCTCATTCCAGCTTGTCTAATCATCCCTCTTTCCTCAGCAGTAAACAAAATCCCTGAAATGGATTGTATTTCTTCCCAGGTATAAGTATTTGGGCCTAGGAATTGATCCAGTGTCAAAACAAGGGGTCCTGAGGGGCTAAATTCATACCGCATTCCTTTTGCCACTCAGGATGATCTCTTAAAGTGAAAAACACATCAGCACATACCACCTCATCCCATTTTTCATTTCTTCTGAGAAACAGCATCAATTGCAATAGAGTATTATAATTCAAAGTTCCATTATTTGGCCATTTTTCCCCATCTTCCAATTTATAGAACAGCCACCGCTGGTTACAGTATTCAACTAATGTTTTCTTATTTACATTTCCTCCCGGGGAACCCCCAATATCTTTCCAATGTGCCAGGACACATCCTGTGAGGGGGTGGCCGTCTCCGCGTGGGCGGCAGGTTGCCGAGGGCATCCCTGTCCAGATTTGGGGCGCATGTGAGCCAGCGGTGCTGATGTCACCGCGGCCATTGTGACCTGCGGGGCCAAGCCACGTAACGGAACGCCGGGCACAGGCCGGGCGTCAGTGCGACCCGGTGGAGGGA